GTTAAGTGATAAAAAAAGATGTTAATTCCGTCACTTGAGCAGTGTATAAACATTTGGAATGGCCAGCTAATGAAAGGTGCTTGCTTTTTGATTTTGTTTCTATCTATCAATAAACCTTGTACCATATTCAAACTATACCAATGTAAGGGTCGTTTGCATACTTTTTAACCTATGAACTGAAAGCATAAAAAGGTTGCCTTTTTCAATTCTGAATACCCAAAGTAATCAGAACGCAACTTTAAACATCAACGTAAGACGATGACAGAGATGAACGAAGTTGGCAATCCCAATGTACAATTTGGTGATGCAAACCTTAAGCAAGTAGCAGCTTCCAATGGACAATTTGGTGAAGTAATTTCGGGAACCAGAAATAAGCCAATGATGGACCCTAACAAAACGATAATGATAAAGTAAAGTCTAAACTTTTCCATTTATTTGAGTGGCGGACCCATCTTGTTTGGTATGTAAGAAAATCTTTCAAGAAAGGACAGGGTGATCTGCAAGGCATGCCATCCACGTCCCTTAAACTTCAAGTGCATGCATGTTTATGGCTGATCATCCACTTACATACACCCCATTTATCCCACTACCAAAATTAATAACATAATGAGTCCCAAAAGCCTTTGCTTCACTCTTCTTGTTGCCGTTTTTGCTGTTCTTGCATCCAGGTTTGTCATCAACCCAAGCCCTCAGTTTCTCAACTATATTGTCGATATCAGTCTAACCATCTCATCTTCATCATCCATAGTTGCCAACTTCATCCCGTTTCGACCACATAAACACCCTGATAAGGGCAAACCAATCTCCGTTTGTGAAGGCTTCCCTCCCAACTTCCCACCTTCGGGAACCAATACGACGTTAACGCTTTGAGTCGACCGATTCGGATGTTGTAATTTCACGACGGTGCAAGCTACCGTCGATGCAGTCCCGAACCTTAGCATCAAAAGAACTGTAATTTGGATAAACTCGGGCATTTACTTGTGAGTTCCCATCCATATACATAATGTTACAATTGTTATTTAGCGATACATCCAAAAATATGGATACAAATTCATTTTCTTTTCTTTTACAGTGAGAAAGTAATTATTCCAAAAACCAAACCGAACATTACACTTCAAGGACAAGGCTATACATCCACTTCAATAGCTTGGAATGATACTGCAGTTTCTGCAAATGGAACATTTTACAGTGGTTCAGTTCAAGTTTTCTCCACCAACTTTATTGCCAAGAACATAAGCTTCATGGTGAGATAAACATAGTCAAATCAAACATGATATATTAAGATTAATGTATATTGATTTCTCTGATGTATGCGAGTTGTTATCATAGAACGTGGCTCCTATACCTCGTCCAGGTGATGTTGGGGCACAAGCAGTGGCCATTAGAATAGCCGGAGACCAAGCAGCCTTCTGGGGTTGCGGTTTATTCGGAGCTCAAGACACCCTCCACGACGACCGTGGCCGCCATTACTTCAAGGATTGCTATATTCAAGGCTCGATCGACTTCATTTTCGGGAACGGGAAGTCTTTTTACTAGGTAATACACTTTTACCATGCAAACAAGAAATAATTTAGAACATCATCGATATATGTCGCTTGATAAGATTCAATCTTGAACAGGACTGTCAGTTGTTATCCATGGCTAGCCCCGTGGCACCGGGATCGAAATCCATAAATGGAGCGGTGACGGCACAAGGACGAGCTTCGGCGGATGATAACTCCGGCTTTGCGTTCGCCAACTGCAGCGTGGGTGGAACCGGGAGAATATGGCTCGGCCGTGCATGGAAGCCGTTTTCTCGTGTCGTTTTCGCGTTCACATCTATGACGGATATCATTACACCAGAGGGATGGGATGACTTCAATGACCCTACACGAGACCAGTACGTATGAATTGAAAATTGAATACAATGAGTTAATGGTGACAACTTTTTTATATATAAATTTAGATATAAATTAATAAGAAAATACTTTAAACATATAATGAGAAAAGTGGTCAATTTTGAAAATAATATTGAATCCTTTAATTTAAAGTTGGAGAAAATTGTGATTAATTGATGGTTAATTAATGATATAGGACCATATTCTATGGAGAATACAATTGTACGGGTGCAGGAGCAAATATGAGTGGGAGGCCACCGTATGTTCAAAGGCTGAGCGATACGCAGGCTTCTGCTTTTCTCAATACGTCATTTGTCGATGGAGATCAATGGCTGCTGTCTTACGATAGTTAGATCATTTGTCAATGTTATATATGTTATTAATTGATGTAACAAAGAATTTAGAGACCAAGTTGGGGAAAATATGATTTATTATATTTTGATACATAATTTGGTTTTAAGGTGTAATTTAAAGTACCTGAACATGGATTTAAAGTTTAGCTTGATTGCTAAAGGTTCTTTTGATCCGATTAGGTACATGAATTAACTTATTAATTTAAATCGGTACCTGAATTTTACTTTTTGGTTCAAATTGATACTTAAAATTGATACTTATGGTAAATAATATATTTAATCCAATTTGAATTATGAGACCAACTTTAGGTGCTAATTTGAACCTAAAAGTCAAGTTCAAGTACATAATTTGACCAAAAAAAATAGTTTACGTGTCAAATTGTAATTTAAAGTCAAGTTCAGGTACTAAAATGTATAGTTACCCTAAAGTCACCTTTAACTATAACGTCGGTCTAACGCATTAGAGTCATTAGTTTATGCTACTTTCAGTTATTCTTTTGTGTTGGTTGAGATATACATTGTGCTTTAAATTTATATATTGTTTTATTCTTCTTCTTCTTCTTCTTCTTTTCAGTTTGGATTTTGTAGAAAGGTACAAACCACACCCCCATACTTCATATCATTAACAAATAATAAACAATATCGATCTCTAAGTCATATTTCATACATAAGAAACTATATTGTTCATAAAATGGACACCCCTTCAGCACATAGGTGTTTATATCCTGAATATAATATTGTATATTTGACTCCAAGTTTCTCAACTGACTTTTTTTTTCATTGATTTCTGTCTTTGATTTATTGTAGCATATTTATTTCTTGTTGTCTTGCATAAACAAATTGCAAATTTTCTATCAAGTTTAGTATCTTTGGATGTTTAATCAAATACTCATTTCTTGTTGGTATACTTCACCCTTGTTTTTATCATAAAAAGTAGGGTAAACTACGTATTTAATTATTATTATTTTTCAAAATCATACTTAACATTGCGTTTTGGTTCCATTTTGGTCACCCACTATTAAAAAATACCTACACTGTTATGGTTTTGGTGAGGCTCCTTCAAAGTTCAAATCATCCCCTTCATCTGTATTAAACTTAGGGGAGACCACATGATACACGTATAGGAAGGGTAAAACTGAAATCCTAAAATATCATTTGACTTGTAATAAATTTTCATACGAGATTTAGGTATTTCTAAGTTAATATATCTTCTTACGAAATGATGGAGCGTTAATTGTCTTTCCAATGCATCTTGAAACACCTCAATCAGATATCAAGAACTCAAAATATTTTTATTTTAGTGAAGACAATGCAATCAAAAAATTCTATACGGGTTCAATATGAGATTTTAAAAAAAAGAAGAACAAAATTTTATTAATTATCTATAATTAAATTTAACTTAATATCATACTATTAAGATCATATTTAATTATGTCGTTTAAATAATTTAAGATCATATTTAACATATATTTAATATATTAAGAGATTTGGATAAAATTAGATTTTATTCATTATTTATATTATTCAATCTTTTAGATAAATTCATAAACGATATCCAGTAAATTATCTCTACCTCTAACTAAAATTTAGGATTTTTTTCTAACTTAGGTTCTCCTCTTTTGTCCTTGAAAACATCAATTCATAACAATGAAAAGCAGACAAAAAAAATTTTGTGCTTCCTAGAAATATCAATAAAAGTAATTATTCCACCTTTTTATTGGTTCTGTTAATCTGACGAATATTTAGATGGAAGATAGTAATTGACAATTTTTTTCCGATAAATATAATATAAAATATGAGATATGATTTATTTTCAGATAATTTACGTATTTTACCCTACATTTTGACATTGAGTAAAAATATACCAAACATTTCAATTTAACTTATATAATTAAATTGTTAAAGTGGTAGAAAACAATGAGACAAGTTCGTCGGTGTGTCTAGGATGGTCATAAAAGACATCGAAGAATAACAATTTTTAGTGGTAGCTAAAAATAGAAGAAAATCCTAATTTTGATGAAAATGTGTTGTGTTGGAATAAGTTTTTTAGCTTTCACATTAGTACCAAACTACCACATCATCTTACTATTAATGAATTAACAGTCCAATGACAAAAAAAATTAATGTCAAAAGATTAGTGTTAAAATTAAAGGTTTTTAAAGTTTAGTGATGAAAATATTATATAAACTAAAGTTCATTGACTAACGAGATAATTTACCCTATAAAAATTGTAAGATAAAAATTCAAATCCAAGTACACCGGCAGACAACTACATGTAGGGGTGTGAAAAAATAGACCCGGTTGATTTGACCCGTCGACCCGAACTTAAAAAACGGAGTAATTTTTTTAAAAAATTACTTGATCGGGTCAGGTACCCGGTCCGACATTTTTCGGGTCAGGCCCGGGTCACCAAATTGAGTTTTTCCAGGTAATGGTTACCCGAGTACCTAGTTAGTTTATATATATATATATATATATATATATATATATATATATATGATTGTTTATATTATGGATTATTAGATTTTGTATTTCGAACTTTTAAATTTTATGTTCAGATATTGGAATATGTAATTCAAAGTTTCGAACATTTAAATTTGTGTATATATTTTTTAAATTAATAATTTAAAAAAGAAAAACAAACCGAATACTTGCAAAATCCGTAATCGGGTACCCGCAATATTTGGGTCGAAACACTGGTCGAGAAATCACCTACCCTGATGTTGCAGGTACCCGGGTTTGCACACCCCTAACTACAGGCACATGTCCGGTTTTAAGAAAAAACTAAGTGGTGAAGTATTTGTGCTAAGCTGATCCAAATGGTCAATGGTGCTTACATTATAGTAAATCTCCCGACATCGTATTTGCTATTTACAATATAAAGACAGTTATATTATTCGGAAATGATAAGAAGGCAACAGATTTGGATGACTCCAAGCTTTTAAGCCCAAACAGCCATGAGAGACATGAAGGCAGCTCCAAGAAGAAGAGAGACAGTAGCTCCCGCCTGAAGTGTTGCGTTGTTTTGCAACTTAGGGTTCATGAAATCAGCTGCGAGCAGATCCACAAGCGCCGTGTATATTAAAATCCCCGCCGATGCGGCGTTGAAAACCCCTTCGACGATAAGAGCCTTGGGGCTGCTGTCATTGTACCCTTTCGATATAATTATTCCTACAGCGATTCCAAATGGGGTTGTGAGAGAGAAAAAGAGTGCCATAATTGCAACCCCACCAAGCTTGAATTGTGCCTAACGAAAACAACAAAATCACAAAGATTCCTGAGATTTGTACCATGGGAACTAACGGAACTCATTAAAGATATATGTTAATTTACCTGGGAAATGCTTCCACCCAGTCCCATGCCTTCAAAGAACTGATGGAAGCTTAGTGCACCCACCAATGGCTTTATAGTATTTGGATTTTTTGAAGCTCCCAAAGATACTCCTATTATCACCGAATGCACCACTATCCCCAACTCCAAAACCTTTAAAAAAAATCAAATTATCAAAATCAAAAGTTTATCAAAATTGCATTAATCATGAATGAATTTCAGTTGTGTTACCTGAGATATTACTCGATAACGAAGAAGCTCAGACGAAACATGAGTATGAACATGCACGAAATTTCCATCATCATGTTCCTCGGTTTTCTCTTCATCACCACCATCAACCTGTGGTGTTTGATTCTTAAGGTGAGACTTGGTGTAATGAGAAGTAGCGTAAACATCGACGATCAATGTAGCGATCGCAAACGTCATCGCCACTAATCCGGCGAACGGGAACTTTCTCCAAGGACGTTCGTCGAGGCAATGGCATGTCAATTTCTCAGTAGCATCGGGAAGAACATGGATGAACCCGGTAGACAATATCACACCGGCAGCAAATGCTTTGATTAGGAAGAAAACGTTCTTCTCGGGACGTAAAGCATTGATGGTTTTCCCAAGAAGGGGAACGCAAACGCCAATAGATCCAGCAACAAGAATTGAAGCTATAGCAATGATCTTGTATCTAAGAGCTAAAGACTTTTTATTGGATTCATCAGTTTCTTCTTCGCACGTGCAGTTGTCATCTCCTCGTACAATGGAAGGAAATACGATGAAAAAACAGCAAAGAAACGCTAAGAGCCGAGCTTGCTTGAAGTTGGTCATGGCTGCTGTGAACTGAAAACTAAAATCCCATATTTTTTTTAAAAGATTTTGATGAGAAAGTTAATGGGTTAAAATGGGACTTGCAATTTGCAATGTCCTTTTTGTAAACTCCAGTAACCAATCAAGTGGCAACAGACAAGCAAACTATCTGTTCATGGAAAATATGACCATGTAAGGTCAAGGAAAGATTGTTGTTTTGTGTGAAATTAGCGTGTAGGACAAGGACGACTTAGGCTACTGATTACAAAGATTGAACACTCTGTGGGCAGTGGATTGGTAAATTATTTGCAATAATTTAAAGGGTTTAGGGTTAATATTTGATTTAGCTCTCTGTTTTCGACAATGTCACATCAAAGCTTAAACTGGTCCTAAATAGCATCTTTTGAATTTTCAAAAGCAGAGTTGTTACTTTCGTTACCATGCTCTGGAAAATGAAATGAAGTTCTTCTTAGGTCCACACTGTTTTCCTCTCGTAAATGCTTCCTTAGCTAAATCTATGCGCCACTTTATTCCCATCGATCTTTCCACGCATGCTTTAAAACATAAGAAACAAACTGATCTTTCACCTGTATGATGTTTAATAATCTGTTTTGATTTGGATAAAGAGTCCTTAAATAAAAATGGTAATCAAAGTGAAGACTCGAATTCAACTTCCTCTATTCAGGGAGGAAGAGCAAACAGAAAGAAAGATCCCTAATTTCCTTTGTTCTCCTCCACTCTATGGTAGAGAGAAAGAGTCTTCCTATATATTTTGTCTCTGACTATTAGAACTAAATAGCTAGAGTTAGTTAAGAGCAGTTAGTGTTGTTAGCAGTCAGTTGAGGAAGTTACAGAGCTTCTAGAATTGTGCCAAGCTTCTGTTAGCTATTATAAAACCATGTACACGATCACTGGAATTAATAAGAAAAGCATTCAATGTTTGTTGAACATTAAAGCTTAATCTAGCTTTCCAACATGATATCTTTCGCCAAAGTCCTAGAAATTTTGGTTTCACGCTTCTAAACTTTCTTCCCTAGCTCCTTGCGCATGGTACGCCCAGTGGCCATCGCTTCACCGACCTCCAGGCTCTTTAACAGCAACGCCATGCGTGAGTTCGATAGCGACAATGACGAGAGTGAGTTCAGTGATGATCGTTGCCGCGAACGCTCACTTTCTCGCTGTAGTGATGGTTTCTTCTCATATGTGTTTGATCCTTTCTCCCCAGCGAGGAACCTGAGCCAAGTCCTGAACATGATGAATCAATTCATGGAGAATCCATTTGTGGCTGCATCGCATGGCATGGGAGGAGGTCTTCGCCGAAGCTGGAGCGCTAAGGAAACGGAAGACGCCTTGAACCGTCGAATTGACATGCATGGGCTCGGGAAAGAGGATGTCAAAGTGTCCTTGGAACAGAACACTCTGGTCATCGAAGGCGAGGCCAAAGAATCTAACGAGGGGGGAATCTAAAATCCTCAGACGTTTCAACGTCAATGGCCATAAGACGCCTAAGGCAAATGTTTCAATGATGTTGCTGGTGTTTGGCTTGTTTCACATTGTTGTTATAGAATAAGGTTTTTTTTTAGAATTTTTTTTGGTGCATGTTCATTCACATCAAAAGTTTTTTTAAATTTTTTTTAGAATAGGCAAATGTCAAGAACCTTGTAAAAGAGGGTGAAGAAGAAAGAAATGAAAGTGAATAAGAAGAACGAAATGAAGCATCAGCACTTTCGATTCAAAGTGAACGGAAGGAAGCATCCGCACTTTCGATTCAAGAAGAACGAAAGGAAGTATCGGCACTTTCTATTCAAGTGAACGGAAGGAAACATCCGCACTTTCGATTCAATTGTCCATCTTTTCAATTGTTCAAGGCTAAGATGTGTATGTTACCTTGTTGAAGGAGGAGGAGAAAGTAGAGGTAATATTAGAACTAAATAGCTAGAGTTAATTAAGAGCAGTTAGTATTATTAGCAGTCAGTTGAGGAAGTTACAGAGCTTCTAGAATTGTGTAAAGCTTCTGTTAGCTATTATAAAATCATATACACGATCACTAGAATTAATAAGAAAAGCATTCAATATTTGTTGAACGTTAAAGCTTAATCTAGCTTTCCAATACTGACACCACATGGTACTAATAGATCGATGGATAATTGAGAATATATAAAACATTTAAATAGGTTGGTTTAGAGTCTATCATGTCAATTCAATATCGTACGTTTGATTTTAGTCATAGGAGGTGATTAAATAAATTATATTATTTTGTTTGAATAAAGAAGTACTTAGGGCTATAACTCTACTTTGAAATTAAGGCGTCAGAGAATGTTGAATGGTGTAATGCTTCAATAATGATTCCGATAGATCCTTTAAACCTATCAAGAATGGTCTATTGATGGTATGATATAACACATATTAGTTTGTTTTCATTGAAAAACATTTTAGATAATTTCTTAATTAATTAATACTATAGTTACTAATATAATCATATTGATAATTATATCTATTTTGTTAATGTATTAATTTGAATATTACATTATAATAATTTTAATAATATGTACTTAATATATAAAAAAATTTCATAAAATGAATGATAAGATTGGTTTAAATTATAAGAAGAAAAGGTGAAAATGTCCTGAAAATTATCTTCAATATCTAACATTACATGAGGAAGGACTGACATTGTCATTAAAATTATCACGTATTTAAAAATCTAGGCATTATATCAATAATCAGTTGGTCTAGTGGAATGAGACACTATGTCCCTTAACCAAGGTTAAGAGTTTGAATCCTGACGTTTGTGAATGAAACAAACTGGGTTAGGAGGGTCGCCCTCGTCTCTGCAGTACCTGATCTAAATTAGTCGGCCAATAAATCAGATATCAGTGATTAATTTAAAAAAAATCTCGACACTATTAAAAATATAAATTATCAACTCAAATTAATTTTTAAGAATCAGATGTATGAATATTACGTCAAAATATAATATTATTACATAAATCTCACAAGGTTTCAATGTTTATCTCATTTTTTAAAAAAAATAAAAAGAAATAAAAGATATTTTATGATTTATTTAATAATATAAAAATATTAGAGCTAGAGTCCAAAGAGAAATTTGTTCCCATTTCGCACGACGAGACATAAGGGTGAAAGACAACGTCAAAATTTCCAAACGATAGCATCCATGATATTTTCCTAAGATGTCAATAATAGGATTGTCTTTTCATTATTATTGATTCGATACTTGATATATAATAATCATATTTTTTTAATATATATATATATATATCAAAACTCACGCATATATATAAATTATAGTAAATTATATTGTGAAACTTAAATTATTAAAGAACAACAATTTTTTCTAATTACTAGAACTATTACAAGTTTATGAAAATCATATTTTTTTGTTGTTGATAAATCTAGAGTAAATACAAAATAATATATTTTCTCAATCCTTTAACAATAAAAGCTCAAGTTTTTATATAACAATATTTGAACCCACATATATAACAACAAAATCCTTAATCATTAAGGTAACTTAACTTAGTTCGTGCTCTTAAAGTCATACTTGAATATGCAATTATTGTATAATTGTAGTTTATTTAAAAAGGATAATTACATTGCTAATCACTTAATTAGTAAGATATTATGGAAACAAATGAAGAAGATGACAAATTATCACATAAGGGCAACCATTGTTCGTGGGTGTTTATTCCTCTTAGATTTGAGATAACACCGTTAATAAAAAGGGTAAACAATGTATTTAGTCACTCACTTATTCTCACGGTTTTATTTTGGTCACTCAATATTTTTTTAAAATAAAATTCAACGTTACGTTTTAGTTCCATTTTGATCACTTATCATTAAACAAATTAATGTGATGTTAATGTATCACCATAAGATAATTTCACATCATCATTAAAAAATAAAAAATTATCACGTTAACAGTTTTGTTTGTGAAACCAAAATGGAGCGTTTGGTATGATTTTGAAGAAAAAAAATACTTGGTGATTAAAACGGAACCACAATAATATATGGGTGACTAATTACGGAGTTTACCCTAATAAAAAACTTAGCATTTGTCTATCTATTTCTTTTTTATAAGATAACTCTTAACCATCTGACATTGAATGCTTAGACCACTGACATTCATAGGGCTCAAACCTGAAATCTAAAAAAATAACAACAATTCTTTTACCACCGAGATCGTTTAGTTTGAACATTTCTTTTTCTTTTTAAATGTCAAGATGTTAGTGAAATGAAAGTCAAACTATCAAAGACCACTCTAAGAAACCTTTGGAATCAAACCCAAGAATACTTAGAAAAGTAAAGGGTTGTGAAACATTTGATGCTTCGACCAGGAAAAAAAATGACACAACCAACACCAAATCTCAACTTCAACAAATTTTCAATCTTGCCGTGGAGAATGGCATCAATCTTTTTGATACTGCCTACTCTTATGGGATTGGAAGACTTAATGGACAGTGTGAGAAGCTTCATTACAGAATTTGCAGGTTGGTTCATTTCTTGTTCCAATCCAAATTCAACCCGCCCTGTATGAATTAACATTGAATTTTCCTTTGCCTTATCTTGTGTCAAAACGGTTTTCCGAATGGGGAAATAAGGGGTCTCGTGTCGAAATAATTTTTGATGACCGGTTAACGATAAAATGTGGTTCGAGGAGTTGCTACAAATCTTTGATTAGGGTGTGATTGGGATCCCAAAAAATTATTTGTCATTTTAATAAAATATCAATTTTAATTAAAACAACAAACTTACGGTATGCGCTACCAAAATTCGAGTTCAGGAGTCGGTTACGTGTGAGGAAGGATTAGCACCCCCACAGTGCCCTAAATCAGTACCTAGTCGATTAATTAATTAGTTGTCTTTACGATGAAATTTATGAGTTCGAGTCTGATTTAATTTAAGATCCCCTAAAAATAATATTCTTTGAATTTTTGGACGAAACATGATAAGATTTAATTATTTCATATCGAGAAGAATTGATCTCTCATACCTTAAATCAATCAATTCTTACTCCAGTCGAAATAAAGAAATATTAAAATTACATTCTAAAGTTCATTATTAATTCAAAATAACAACACCCAAAATAATTTTAAGAGAGAAAAATGATATTTAATTATTTCCAATCGATAATAAATGACCTCTCATGCCTTAAAACAATCATTTATCACTCCAATCGAAATGAAGAGATATCGCTATTCTGTCTTAAAATTCAAAATCGATTCGAGTGGAAACGATAATATCTAATGATTTTCAACTGAGAATAAATGACCTATCATACCTTAAAGCAGTCATTTATTGCTTCAATCGAAATGAAGAGATATCACTATTTCATCTTAATTAATTCGAGAGAAAACAGTAATATCGAATTATTTCCAATCGAAAATAAATGACCTCTCATGCCTTAAAGCAGTCATTTATTACTCCAACCGAAATGAAAATATATTACTATTTTCAATATCGATCTGAATGTTATTATTTTGAAAACCCATTGGAGAACACATGCAAAAATAAAGCAAATTAAAAGCATATCAAGCAAGTATAATTAATTAATTATTTTACCAATATTTAATGAGAATAAGGATGTTCAATTATTTAAATATCTCGAGACGAGACCTTAGATTAAAATCTAACAGTCTTTTCTCGATGAATTGAATTAAAAGAACGTGATCTTTTTCCAAATCCCCGAATTTTAAAATGAATTTGATGTAATTCGTGTCACTAAATGGGATATACTTTCGTTTTAAAATTATAGAAAGTAACTTTCTTATACGTTAAGACAGTCACTTTACGACAATATTAAAATGAACGAATATTACCCTTAGTCAATTTATTTCGATTCGAGCCAATAGATGCTTATGAGGGTATCATGCAAAATTAATTAAGGACTAAAATGAATTAACATGCAAGCAATATCCTAAAATAAAAATAAAATAAAAATAGGGCTAAAATATAAACAATCAAACCATCATGTCAAAATTAAAATAAAATAAAGTATATAAGTGACTAAAATGAGCATGCTTAATATTGGGTGCTAAAATTACAAAGAATAAAAATAAATAAAACATGGGGACTAAATTAAAATAAACTAAAATCGCATGGCTAAATTAAAATAAATAAAAAGATAGATTCTGGTTCGAAATACAAACATGCAAAACTACAGGGGCTATTTCCTAAATACTCCTTTTTTCCTAGCCTAAATATACATTCGAATAAAAAAAGAAAAAAAATTACTAAATCAGTCCATTAGCATTTAAAAAATTAAATAGTCACTACACGTGGCCAAAATGTAAAACAACATAAATATACAGGGACTAAACAGAAAATAACTCTAAAATTATATAACATGCATAAAAGTGAGTAAATTACAAAAACAGTCCCCACATGTGACTATCGTGCAAAAACATGGCTAAACTAGGGGACTAAACAACAAATAACCCTAAAAATATAAAGCATGCACGAAAAGGGGAAATAATAGGTTTGGTCCTTACAAATGAACGATTTTGCAAAAACAAGCATAACTTAGGGGGACCTAAGTGCAATTTCCCCCCTAAAATTTCCTATATGTCATTTTATCTTTTTTTTATTTTTTAATTTTCTCTTTGTTTTAAAAAATCTAGAGAGAGAGTTTCCCTTCTCTCTAAAATTCGGCCCCTCGTCGGCCGCCAATTGGAATTCTGAAACCTACCCAAAATGTCCCCCAAGTTCAGATCTACAACCCTAGACACAAAACCTAGGCCTAAAAGCTCCTTAAATACCCCAAAAAAGCTTCACTTTTTTTCAACTCCGGCTGCAGCGAAGACGAATCGGTTGGACGTTTCGACTCCCCCTCATGTATATTTCCTTGATATATCCCTCTTCTCTCTGTTTTTCTTACATGCAAGGTGGTTGTTTTTCCCCTTTTTTACTTCGAAATTGGAAAAACGAACAAAAATAAATACCTTCATTGCTCTTGAATTTCTTTTTGTTTTTTTATTGCTTTTTCAAACCGATAAGGAAACCCTTTTTATATTTTTTGTTAGGGTTTTTATAAGCATGTTTTTACAAATTTTCTCTGATATTAAATTATTACAAAAAATGATGTTTGCTTGTGTGTTGATTTGTGTTTCTGACATGGCAGGGGGCTCGGTTGATGGTAGTAATGGTGGTAGATGATTGGTGGAGATAGGCGGCGGCAGAGGCTCGATCTGGACTATTGGATGGGTCCAGATCGTGCAGCTGAGATGAATGGCGGCTAGAGCTATGGGTAAAACCCTAATCAGTCTCTGGAAAATGAGGAAACCCTATCGGGTTCGAGCCTCCATACATGAACAGTGGCATTGGGCTATGGGTTGTTGGGTTAGGATTTGTATTCTGGGCTCCGGGTTTGGGTTGTTTTGTGGCCCAATCGGGCTTGTTGCTTTTGTAAATTGGCCAAGAAAAATAAAATAAAATAATAATAATATGAAAACGTCGGACGATAACCGCTGTCCACATCTTTTCCATTGAATGCTCCCCCACAAGAGTTAGCGCTTTGGAACGGTTTAGTGGTAATTAATATATGAGAAGTTCAACCTTGAATTACTTTTACGTAGTTATTGTTCGATTTTATCATTCAATTATATTATTTTTTATTTTATTTATGTTTATATCACCCTCTAAAAAAAATAACTTTATTGTTCTGCGTAGGATAAAGATGCACCTTATCAAAACTACCTTCCAAAAAAATATGTTTTATGTAATGTCTTTCCCTTCCGTGATATAATCGGTTAAAAAAAAGGGGAATACGTGTTTTATAAAACGCGTTTTTTTAATTCTTTTATTTTTAATTTAGGTAATCAATTTAGGTTTTAGAATTGGGTGGTTTAGGTTTTTTTAATTATTGTCGGGGTATAATTCAATGCTTATTTTTATATTCAGCTTCAAGGAAGCATTGATTTGTGACTTTTTGGCTCCCGGCTAATCTTGCTAATATATATATATATATATATATATAAATTGTTGTGCGAAAGAAAGTGATTAGGGTTTTTAAGTTAAGGATTTTGAAAGGTTGTTTAGGACTTTAAACTTGACCAAATATAGAAAATATAAGCTGAGACTCAGATTGAGATAAAATCAAACTATTCGAGCTTGAGAGCGCTTACCAACTCTAATTATCATTTGCATGTAAAAGTGGGAATACTATATTAATGAAAAACACATTTAAGCTTATAAGTCATTCGAGTCAAGTGATATGTAAAGGTGTTGATAATCAGATTTTGTATTTTCGGCTATCCGAAATATTAAATATATGAGATTTTTTAATATCAAAAAGTCGGTCCGTATCCTAGCCCATTTCATTTAGATATATGTAAGTCGAATACTCGTAAAGCTCAAGTCTACATTTTCAGGTTATAGGTATTCGGTTCATATTTATTTTATTTTTTCTTTAAATTATATATATATATATATTAAATCAGATAGAAAAAATATAAAAAATAAAATTTAAAAGTGCATAATCCATAATTTACCCATATAATTTAGAAATTCGAATTACATAATTCAAAAGTAAAACTTAAGATTTCAAAAAATAAAAATAGAATTAAAGCAATACAACTAAATTTAGAATGTTTTGAGGTTAAAAGAAATAATTTAGAATCTAGGGTAAAATAATTTGAGAAATTTGAAATTTAGAATGTTATGGTGAAATATTTTGAAAATTTGAAATGAAAAATTAATATAAAATAAAAAAAACAGAGAACTGAATACCCGTCAATCTGACGGGCCTGAAATTTTGGCCCATGACCTGACCCGTGACTTGTAAAATTAACAAGTCATATACCCAGTGGGAGAATTCAAATATTTAAAAAGAAAGTTTAATTTTTATCCGAATCTATAAATCAACGAGTCAAATATGTTAACTAATTTTTTTAAAATATATTTAATTTTATAGTATTCAAATATAACTTGATCGATAATCCAATTATTATCCTATCAAATTCAATTTTTTAAATCAAATTTGAATCACTTACCAAAAATACTTTTTCATTAACACCATAGCAAAGACTAGCCTAAACATGACTTTGTCATTCCTATTTTCTTCCTTAATGTTATTTGGGTCCCATTGCACGGCTAAGATTCAGCCCCTCTTCCCAAATCATTTCACCCTCATATTTGTCCTTTCTTATTTTTCTATCAAATTTTGAATTCATTTATCTACCTTTTCTCTCTTTTCTTCATTTATTTATTTGCATCAATAAATATGCCGAAATAGTTACTTTTCCTTTTTTAAAGGAAATAAAGTTAAATTTTATTCCTATTTTTTCTATTTAATTAAGTTATAAATTTAATTTATATTCTCTAGTCCTCTGACTTTCTAAAATATGAAATTTTGGTATTAATCCAATAGTATCTGTAAATTTGTTAAGTCATTATTTTATTAGTCTCTATATTCTATATAAATTGTAAAATTTATTTATGTTTTTCAATTTGATTATTTCTTTTAAATATATATATAATGGGATTAACATTAATTAAACTAGAGTATATAGATCATATTCATAATTTATACATAATAAATTGGCTAATGATAAATTTTGATAAAATGTATTCACATTAATTTTCCCCTATTTTGTTTCTACTCCAAACTTGAAAATCAAAATTTAAAACAAAATATGTTTGGATTATTTTCATTGACTACCTTACTCGCATTATATTGTTGCATTGGTCAAGCTGCTCATCTTTGTTCTCTCATATTTTTAAGTCATGGGTTCTAGACTCATTAGGAGCACTATTCTCCTTCTCCTAGAGTTCCATATTCCCCTCCCATCTGGATAGGATTATGATTATATTTATAATTTGTCAAAAAAAGTTAAAATTATAAATAATTTAAGTATTATATAAAAATATTTTTATTATTTTCACACTAATATAAGATTTTTTGACAGAAACTAGATATATAATATAAATTCATTCAATCAACTCATAATAAAAAGGGAGAATACTTGCACAAATTGTATATAACTATATGTACTATCATAAAATTAGATGACATTAAAAATTTTAAGATGATATATGATCATTTCAATCATTCACAATATATAAAATTATATACTATAAATATATTAGATATTAACTTTTTAAAATAAAAGTTGATTGTATAAAAATATAAACATTAATATTTAAAGTTTAAATATTATAAATATCCACATTTATTTAATTAATTAATAACTACTATTAAAAGTTTTTTAAAAAATAAAAAATAAACCTTAAATCCAAACGTTGGAGGCCATCTAGTAGGAGCCAATAACATAAAAAGGTTGAAAAATAAAAGAAAAGAAAGTATAACAAAAAATAAAATATTTTTGAATAGTAAAAATAATTAAAAGATAATATGTGTTTAAAATCTTTATTAATCAATAATAAATATACCTTATAAATATTGATACTCAAATTCGAAACTTTTATAGAGAATACCAATCTATCTTATTACTAAAATCGCTTTAACAATTTGAAAAACAAAATATTTACATTGGTCAAGGTTTGTCGTGAACATTTTTTCTTTCTCTATCAAAGTCTGAAAAACATGTCTGACCAAAAACCAAAAGAAGACTCAAAACATGAATGAAGTGTGAGTCCTGTTCTCATTGGAGGAACCGGTTCTGGAAGAAATAACCTGCGAGGAAACACCCTCTGCAACAAAGCCTTCGGACACAGCCTCCACGTTCGGTCTAGGGTTACCCACAAGTCTTTGAACCAAATGGTCCCCTGCCCCAAGATTATTATCATTGCTGTTCAACATGTATACCTGGTTCTGATGTTGCATTAAATGTTGTTGTTGATATTGCAACTGGAATCCGACTGGAGGAACCGTGAGGGAACCGGAGTTAAGATGCACTTGACGTCCTCCGAAACCGAACTCGAAAGTTGGTCCACCAGGGTGAGCTGAGCCTGCTGCAAAACTAGGACAGCCGGTGAATTGTTGAACCATAGCTCGGAAATTTGTGGTGTCGGTATTGAGCAAAGTGGTAGGGGTTCTCCTTGAAGCCCTTGATCGTTTTCGAGCTGGTTTCCCAACGCGGCCGCCTTCAAGACTCAAATGGCCACCATTTGAACAAGCTGGGACTGAGCCTACTGCACTAGGTTTGCCCGTAGCGGTAACAACGGTGGTGTCGTAGGCCTGGTCGCCGAACATTGGCTCCTGATTCGAAAGATTTTGTTGGTAAAAGTGAAGCCAATCATCAGTGGGGCTAGACATGAGAGAGAAGAAGAACAATTATGGCAGTTAAAAATACTGAAGAAATGTGATTTCTCTTGGATGTGTGAGAAAGAAGTGAAGGGGAAGAAGAGAGCGTAAGATTATAGTATTTATGGTACCTTTGGTGACGGTCAAAAGGAGAATAATCGGAAACTCGTTGCCATTAATTTTCGTTGGATACGTGAAAGTAACACCAAGTGGGGCACGGCGGAAAAATAATAAGTGTTAGGTAGAATTGCGTGGGCTTCTTTTACTAAAAAAAAAGTTAATTCTTTTTTTCACCGTAACACATGTTTCTAATTAATTCTTAAAATGATACATTTTTATATCACATACAGTAAAAGTATATTCAATCAATCATATCTTTTAAAAATATGAATGACTGGACGTGTTTTTATCGTACAAACAATCAACATCATAATATTATTTTATTAACAAAATAAAGAAATACATCTTATGAAGTAATCTTTCATAAAATTTTAGAGAAAAAAATATGATTTTATGATTTAGTGTTTTAAAATTATATGGTTTAAGATTTTTATGTTTGAGATTTAAGGATGCTAATAGAATTAAATGTTTTTCATATCGTGACTCGTTTTTCTATAATATTTGCACCGTTTATGGTATTTAAAGCTTTCTTATATCTATATATTGTCGTAAATCTTACTCGATGTGGAATGACCTTTTAGAGTTCTACGCAATGAAGGATCCAATAACATTATAAACCTAGTGACACCTCCATTCTATTACATTTCGTTAATTGATCAAATAGATGAAGATATATGAGAGTAGGTATACATCATCTATGTATCTTATATAATCAATGTGGATATACGAATGTGGGGCAAAGATATTTAACTTCTTAAAAGAACCAACACTCACATCTTCAAACTATTAGATTCATTTAGTATGAGTAATTTATTAAATCTTTTATGGGTTGTGTTATCTGCGTAACACAACAAGTATAATTTCGTTAAAAAAAATCAATCTGACATCGCATTTTATTTTTAGCTTTATCTTCTAATTGTGCATTAAATTTGGATGAAAAATTATACTGGAATCTATCATAGCAACTATATCTCTCTGTACGTTTAAGATAAACGTAGACAACCGATAATATATTACTTTGATGAGAAAAATATTGGCAAATGGTGTGTCGACTATATCGATTCCTCATTCTATCTTTGAGTCCACGTTTTCTTACAGATTTTTTTTAATTGACACGTAACACTTCCGTTAAGGAGTTAATGGAAGTTAACGCTTGAGGGACTAAATCTGAACAAACCTATACTATAAGGGATCAAAATTATTCTTTTTTTCTAAATTGGTGATCAAAATTGATCAGACTAATAATATAAGGTACCATTTGTATAATTTACCCAAGAATAAATAATATATCAAATAAGGAAGTTAATTTCACATGATATCCTCAAACTATGACACCTATTTTAAATTGATTTTTAAATCTTAAAATATTCTATATCAATTATATTTTTATCCTTATTTTAAAGTATCATTAACTCTACTGTTTTTTTTTGTTGTTGTTGAAAATATAGGAATTAAACATTTGACATTTTAAAAAATTATTTTTTTATTTATAAATGTTCTATGAATTGGAATCGTGACCTTCTAAAAAATGTGATCTATTTTTGAAGGTCCCGTGAATTTTTAGAAGGTAAACTTTAATTCTCAATACCTTCAAAACAAAATATTTCTTTTAATCAGCAAAGTTAACAGCACTTTAACAAAATGATCAAAATGAAATAAGATTGATAGTTTAAGAACTAATATATAATATTTAAAGTTTAAGAATGATTTTAAAACATGATTATAATTTAAACACATATAAAATATTTTAAAATTTAAAAACCAGTTTAAAATAAAATTATAATTTGAAGATTTTTTATACAATTATCTTGAAATATTATCATTAAACTTATACATTTATAGGTTGTTATTTTAAATAAATTGGGTATCTCTAAAAAGAAGGATGAAATAATGGAATATTAATATTCACACGATCACTACAAAATATTTATAACAAATTGAGGAGCATGCATTAACAAGATATAAGCTAATAGAGTAGTACAACTCTCTCTCTCTCTCTCTCTCTCTCTCTATATATATATATATATATATATATATATATATAATGAGTAAATAATAAATTTTATCATTTAATTTTTATTTCACTCTTATTTCGGTCATTAAACTTTAAATATTTTTAAATTGATCACTCAATTTTGAAGGTTGATTTTTTTCCATTACTTCACCATTGTCTTTGTACCAATATGATGATATGCCTTATTTTATTAAAATTTGATTCATACAGACACCAAATAATATTCATGTATTTGAATTGAATGTTGTTAAAAGAAGACAGGTTGGTGTTAGGGCTGTAAACAAACTGAGTCGAGCTCGAGTATTGCTGAGCTGAGTCGAGCTCGAGTATTGCTGAGCTCGAACTCGAAAAGTTTAAAATTAGGCTTGACTCGACTCGAAAACTCGCGAGCTAAAGATTATCAAGTTCAGCTCGAACTCGAAATATAATATTGAAACTCAACTCGAACTCGAAAAGGCTCGAACTAAAAAAAAATTAGGAGCTCGGTTGAAGCTCGAGACTCGAGCTCGATTTTGAGCTCGATTCAAGCTCGAACTCAATTCAAGATTGAACTTAAACTCGAATTTGAACCTACAAAAATCTTATATTACATTTAAAAATATATTTTTAAAAATTTATAATTATCAATAATGTATTTTTAATATATTTTTAATAATGTAATTTTTAAAAAAAACTAAAATTATAATATAACATTTTTTCGAGTAGCTCGTAAATTTTTCGAGTCGAGTATTAAGTAGTTCGTTTTAGTTCGTTAAGAATTCGAGTTGAGTTCATTCGATTCGAGTGTTGATCGAGCTTTGACTGAGTCGATCTCAAGTAGCTTGCGATCTATCTCGTCTAATTTACAACCCTAATTGGTGTAACAAAAAATATTCATTTATAATTGAAAATATAGTGATCACTAAAATCAGTTAATTATTTTCATTACATCCATTGTCCCATCAAATATTGTTATGAAGAAAAAGATACAATTAGTCAAGAAAATTAATATGTCATTTTAAAAATTTCAAACGCGAAAAATGATCATATTCAGTTTTGAAGGGTCTTCAATGACCATATCTCCGATCAAACTCCACCCAACAACAAGCGACATTAATTGAAGAACACGAAACATAATCTAAATATATATTTGTGGATTTTGAGGTGTTTTCTATTAAACAAATAACGAATTCGTGATTAAGAAAATAAAATGAGGTTAATATACTAATATCAGGACTCATCAATCATCAATAATGATAGTCGATAGTGGTTAGAACGGTGAAGAACATAACGATAAACGATGACTGAAATATAGTTTGATTTAAGGAAAAGGAGAGAAAAAGAAATAATACAGAAGAAAATAAGGGCAGGAAAGAAAAAAAAAAGATTTTTTTTTTTATAAAGATCTAAAATAATGTTGTTTTGGTGTAAATTGTTAATGCATTATACCACTTGTGACTTAATGTCAGAGTGATTAAGAGTAATTCAAAAATCAAATGTTTTTAAAATTTAGTGATAAAAACAACAGTGAGGTAAAAGTTTATAGGTAAAATTTGTAGTTTACCCTTTTTTTATTGAGTAAAACAGAAAAGAAAAATGACCAGTTTATTACCTGGGAGGCCGCGATTTACTTCCTTTCTTTTTATGTCAACGATTTTCACTTTTGTCAAGTTCTGATTTTTTTCTTCTTCACATTCTCTACTTTCCTTTACTATTCTTTTATCTCTCACCGTTTCCCCTATATCATATGCCGCCCTCTTCTGTCTTCCATTCTTCCCTTATTTATTGCTTTCATTTGCTTTTCATGGACTAACTCTTGACTTCATACTGGGAACCCATTGCTAACATTCTCTCATTTCTTTGTTCTTTTGGACTATTTTTTGCGGGTTCTCAATTTGGTCTTTGGTTGCAAAGAGGAAAACCCGTTTTCTTTCTCTTTCCGTCTCTTCCATAACTGTTTTGTTTTGTGCTTGTTATGGGATTCTGTTCCTAGGGTCTTTTTTTGTAGTTAGTGTCGTAACCGGTTTTCGTCCGGGCACGAAATATTAATTTTAGCGGGAAAAGTGATGTGAATAAATGGTTTTGAAAATAATTTGGGAGTCGCCATCGGCCTTTTGGGTCAGGTAGGTCGAATACCTAAAAAAAATATTTTTTTTAAAAGAGTTTTAAGAAAACATCAATTAAAAAATTAAACTGATATGCGTTTATAACCAAAAATTCGTTCTTTTTAATAATAAAAAGGGATTCGTGGTCGGTTACGTTTAGGGAAGGATTAGCACCCCTACAACGCCCAAAATTGGTACTTTTTAATTATAAATTGTCTCTATTATTAAAATTTAAAAATTCAAAAATATATTTAATTTATAATCCTATTATTTTCAAAATTATATTTATTTAAAAATATCCGAAAAGAACTTCTAGGTGCCTTAAGACAGTTCTTTTCTTTGATATTGATAAATATTAATTTAAATAATATTATTTAATTTTTAATTTTAAAATATCAGAATAGGACATCCAGTTGTATTAAGACTGTCCTTTTCTTCGATATTAAAAATAAATATTTAAAAGTTACTATTTATTATATATATTTATGAATATATATCAAAATATTTAACAAGATAATAAAAGAAAAATTCTATTAAAACAATATATTTAAAAACAATAAATTAAAACATATAAAATAAATGACTAAATTTCAGTAAAAATAAAATTAAAAATCTAATTCATAATTAATCAAAACTATAGGGATTAAATAGGTTATTTTTTTATTTTATTTATTTAGTGATTAAAATAAAATTATCTAAAATTCGGATATTAGATTCAAATAAATTAAAAATATAAACTAGGGATTAAAAAATTATTTATTAAAATTAAGGGATTAAATCTGTCATTTATCCTA